ATCCAACACGCCGCCAGGGTCGGCGGACCCTAAACCCTAAACCCTAAACCCTAAACCCTAAACCCTAAACCCTAAACCCTAAACCCTAAACCCTAAACCCTAAACCCTAAACCCTCAACCCTAAACCCTAAACCCTAAACCCTAAACCCTAAACCCTAAACCCTAAACCCTAAACCCTAAACCCTAAACCCTAAACCCTAAACCCCAAACCCGAAACCCGAAACCCGAAACCCGAAACCCTAAACCCTAAACCCTAAACCCTAAACTCTCATCCAGCTCAGCACTAGAGGACGGGAAACACGTCGACTGCCTCATCATTCAGACAACAGACACACTGGCACAAGCATTCACAGAGTGCCCCTATAAACCTCAAAGGGTTTAGGGTTTAGGGTTTAGGGTTTACCACCCTCAAACCCTAAACCCTAAAACCCTATAAGCCCTGTGCCCTGACAGGCCAACGCGGTTTGCTGCATTGTCTCGACCAGCCACTCCCGGCGTGCGCTTATCTGGGGCTTTTCCAGAATATGGGCGAAACTCTAAACCTAAGTCCTAAAACCCTTTCTGGGGAGGTTCCTCAATTAGGATTCTAGTATTTTGGGGGTCTATTCCGGATACCCCTAGTGTGGGAAATGTCTTGGGGCTTTTGGGGCTTAGGGGCTTATGAACTCATGGGCTTAGGGTTTTGGGGCTGTTTCGTGTTTTTGGGGTTCGGGGTTTGGGGTCTAGGGGTCAGGGGTTTGGGATTTGGGTTGAGTTTCGTCTCAGGGGTTTATGGATTGTACCGTCAGAAGCGCAAGAAAGACAGGATATGAAGCTCACCAGAGAATTCAAGAAAGTAAAGAAGGAAAAAATACCCGCCGGACAGGAAGAAAAGTACGATGGACAGAGAGGGAGAGCAGGACACCATCCGCATCTTGACGACAAAACGGCATAAGCAAAAAGGTTATACAGAGCAAGAAAGAACGGATCAGCAAGCAAGAAACACTAGGCAGGCCCTGAAGATTTTTTGCCTTTTGGGTTTAAGAGGATCCGATTAGGAATATTATTCCGAGGGTTTAAGGGCCATCATAGAAACAGAGATCCCTGCTATTATTGTTATGGTTGTATGGTTCAATTGTTAAATTGTACGTTATTATATTGTTATGTTGTTATAGTGTTGTATTGTTGTATGGTTATATTGTTATATTGGTATTTTGGTAATGTTGTTATATTGTTATATTGCTATATTGTTATATTGGTGCATTGTTATATTGTTATATTGTTATATGGGTGCATTGTTATATTGTTATATTGTTATATTGTTATATTGTTGTATTGTTATATTGATATATTGTTATATTACTATATTGTTATATTGTTATATTGGTATTTTGTCATTTTGTTTTTTTTTTGTTTTTTGATATTTTGTTATTTTGTTATTTTGTTATTTTGTCATTTTGTTATTTTGTTATTTTGCTATTTTGCTATTTTGCTATTTTGCTATTTTGTTATTTTGTTATTTTGTTATTTTGTTATTTTGTTATTTTGTTATTTTGTTATTCTGTTATTCTGTTACTTTGTTATTTTGTTATTTTGTTATTCTGTTATTTTGTTATTCTGTCATTTTGTCATTTTGTCATTTTGTGATTTTGTGATTTTGTCATTTTGTCATGTTGTGATTTTGTGAATTTGTGATTTTGTGATTTTGTTATTTGTTATTTTGTTATTTTGTTATTTTGTTATTTTGTTATTTTGTTATTTTGTGATTTTGTTATTTTGTTATTTTGTTATTTTGTTATTTTGTTATTTTGTTATTTTGTTATTTTGTTATTTTGTTACTTTGTCATTTTGTTATTTTGTTATTTTGTCATTTTGTTATTTTGTTATTTTGTGATTTTGCTATTTTGTTATTTTGTTATTTTGTTATTTTGTCATGTTGTTATGTTGTTATTTTGTTATTTTGTCATTTTGGCATGTTGTTATTTTGTCATTTTGTTATTTTGTTTTTTTTGTTATTTTGTTATTTTGTTATTTTGTTATTTTGTTATTTTGTTATTTTTTTATTTTGTCATGTTGTTATGTTGTTATTTTGTTATTTTGTTATTTTGTTTTTTTGTTATTTTGTTATTTTGTTATTTTGTTATTTTGTTATTTTGTTATTTTGTTATTTTGTTATTTTGTCATTTTGTCATTTTGTCATTTTGTTATTTTGCTATTTTGCTATTTTGCTATTTTGCTATTTTGCTATTTTGCTATTTTGCTATTTTGTTATTTTGTTATTTTGTTATTTTGTTATTTTGTTATTTTGTTATTTTGTTATTTTGTTATTCTGTTATTCTGTTACTTTGTTATTTTGTTATTTTGTTATTTGGTCATTTTGTCATTTTGTTGTTTTGTTTTTTTGTTTTTTTGTTATTTTGTTATTTTGTTATTTTGTTATTTTGTTATTTTGTTATTTTGTTATTTTGTTATTTTGTTATTTTGTTATTTTGTTATTTTGTTATTTTGTTATTTTGTTATTTTGTTATTTTGTTACTTTGTCATTTTGTTATTTTGTTATTTTGTCATTTTGTTATTTTGTTATTTTGTTATTTTGTTATGTTATGTTGTTGTTTTTTATTTTGTTATATTGTTCTTGGTATTATTGTTATTAGAATTGTTATCACATAAATTTGTATCATTCAAAGTCTCTGATAATGCCATTAATTGTTAACTATTTTGATTATGGCAAACTTCAAACATGTGTGACGCAAAGAACTTGCTATTACATAAGTTATAGAAACCACCGTCTACGATCATATACATCTAAATAAACTGACATACATACACACATACATACATACATATATATATATATATGTATATTTTCATGTTTGGGATATTCCTGGAGACTGGAAACATCATCGCAGACCAATCGCTGGCCCTTCTCTCGGATGTGGTGCCGCGTGCCCGACCCCATATAAACCCTCAACCACTAAGCCCCTTCAACGTTCCTGCATTGCAGTGCTAGCCCTAGACCCTGAACCACTTTCGGGTTTAGGGTTTAGGGTCTAGGGTTCCCTCCAAACCCTAAACCGCAGCCCCCTCAAGCGTCTTTGGCCAGGCGAGCTTTTTGGCCTTGCCGTCTTTGACGATGACCTGAGAGCTTTCAGGCACCGCACCGTAGACTGGCTCTTAGTAGGGAATGAGGGCATGAGGTACCCTATCTAACCCCTTAAAGTGAATCTGTATATATATATATATATATTTTTTTTTGGGGGGGGATAAAAGGTACCTAATGTCTTCATTCTCTGCTAGGATCCAGGGGGTAGTGGCCTAGTAGGATATTCATATGGCCTCAGAACGCCTCGTTTAAGGGGTTGGGTTTGGGGCACCGGGTTGACGGTCAAGGGTTTAGGTGAGGATTCAGGGCTTTCAGGGTTGAGAGAGTTGAGAGTGAAGAGGAGGCGGTTAAGGGTTTAGGGTTTAGGGTTTAGGGTTTAGGGTTTAGGGGTTAGGGTTTAGGGTTTAGGGTTTAGGGTTTAAGTCATGCCTTGGTCCTCACCACCTAAACCCGCAGGATCTGCGAGTACAGCGAGGATGTCCACCTATCGAGGCTCCTGGAGGGTTCGTGGTGTAGGGTTTGCGCGTGGGGGTTTAGGTTTCACCATGTAACAAAAAGCCCCAAACCCGCCGTGGGCCCGAAACCCCAAATCCTAGACCCCAAGCCCGAAACCCTCTGCGCCATGAACGCTGAAACGCTCCGCACCGCAGGCTTCAAGGTTTTAATGAGAGCTCCAAGATGGCTGTTGAGGATTCTAGGACCTTCAAGCCCTAAAACCCTAAACCCCAAACCCCAAACCCCAAACCCTAAACCCTAAACCCTAAACCCTAAACCCTAAACCCTAAACCCTAAACCCTAAAACCCTAAAACCCTAAACCCTAAACCCCAAACCCTAAACCCTCAACCCTGAATCCAAACCCTAGAAATTGAGTGGGGCTGGGAGTTTCGGGCTTCGGGGTCTGGGGCTTGAGGTGCTGTAGCGGTCCCCTTAGCTAGGAGTTCAGGGAAGAGTATAAGTAGGGCTAAGTGTAAACTCTTATAAACGCCCTGAGCCCTAAACCCGAAACCATAAGAAACCCTAAACTCCCCTAAGCCCTAAAGAAGAAGGCTCCCTGAATCCAACCCCTTAAGCGCTGAACCTTGGAGGGCGTTGATTGCAGTGAAGTGGGAAGCCTGCATGAAAGCATACCATGCAGATTCTTAGGGATACTTGGGAATCATGGTGAATTTTCGGGTACTTTATTTCAAAAAGGAACAGCAAAGCGTGTGTTTTTTTGCTGGGGTTCCAAGTTCTGTGGAGGATTTATATGGTTGCAGCATCATGGGTTGCCAAGTCTTCAATGAACTACTTGCACATCAGGCCCTAAAGCCTCCCCAACCCCTAAGCCCCTAGAGTAAACGCCAAGAAGTTGGAACATCCTTATCCCCGCACCCCAAAAAGGTGTACTAAAGGGAATCCCAGTTAGGAGTTTACTGTAAACCCCAAACCCTAAACCCTACACCCTAAACCCTAAGCCCTAAACCCTAAACCCTAAACCCTAAACCCTAAACCCTAGACCCTAAACCCCAGGACTGAAGCGCTGCTCCTGCAGCTCCAGCCGCGAAGTTGTTGCCAGTGCCCTTTCGCATGCTTTCGTGGTTTAGGGTTTAGGGTTCACTGTTTGGGGTTTGGGGTTTAGGGTTTAGGGTTTAGGGAGTCCGGATGCAAAAAAAGGGGTTTAGGGTTTAGGGTTTAGGATTTAGGATTTAGGAACTTCGCAGGGGTTCACGTCAAGTGACGGGCTGGGAGATGCGCCATACAGGAACCCAAGTCAGCAATATTTTCCCATGTACATGTATCATTACCACGCTGCCCGGTGGTACACATTTCCCCTTTATCAGTTGTTAAGTTCCCTTTGTAAATTCTAGTATAGATAGTGTTATTAGTAGTTGCCATACAGCCCAAAGCGCCCCCAACCTGGGATAGAGCTTGGGGTGTATGGCTGAAGGTCTACCCAAAGTGCCCCAAACCTACCGACTTGTGCGTGGGATCTACCTGAGGATGCTCTGAGCAGGCCTTTTGGTAAGCCTACAGAAAACTAATCTTTGCTTAAGAACTCCAAACAAAAATAAAAGCAACAATCCGCATACTACTCTTGTCAAGAAGAGGGTTTTTTTAATGAAATATTATTATTAAAAGAATTGTTGGTTCTCAAGTACTTCGCAGAAAACAGATGGTGGCCCTTGAGGTGCACCCTCTGCCATCCTTGATGCCCGCCCGGGTTATGTTCGAGGTTTTTACGTCCGACTGACTGCCTTGGCTTTCTTCTGGTCGGCTCTTAGGACTTCAACTTTTTTGGTTTTGTGCAGAAACTACAAACCAGGAGGCTAAAAGTTAAACTTTTAGGAGAGGTTCAGAAGTCAGCCAAGTTGCTGCATGGGCTCTTAGTGCTTTTTTGGGGGTCCAAAGGGTGTACTCTGGATCGTGCAAGAGCCAGCATAAGACCCTAAACCCCAAGCCCTAAACCCCAAACCCCAAACCCCAAACCCTAAACCCCAAACCTTAAACCCTAAACCCTAAACCCTAAACACCCTAAACCCTAATCCCTAAACCCTAATCCCTAAACCCTAAACCCTAAACCCTAAACCCTAAACCCTAAACCCTAAACCCTAAACCCTAAACCCTAAACCCTAAACCCTAAACCCTAAACCCTAAACCCCAAGCCTGCTTCAATAGCCAGGCTTCTTCACAACCCGGATGCTGTGAAGAAGCTGCGCAGGGGCCCAAAAGGATGGCAGTCTCCAGAACTCGTGCAAAGAGGTTTAGGGTTTAGGGTTTAGGGTTTAGGGTTTAGGGTTTAGGGTTTAGGGTTTAGGGTGGGACTGGGTTTGTCAAGAGCAAAGCAAGAACTTGAGTACATTTCACCACTGGAACTGCCCGAATTCAGTGACCAGAACGACTGACACAACCACGCCATTCGCATAAATTGTGCGAGGAAGGGACAGGGGCGTTGTCCCTGTGGATGGGTTTCGGCGTTTGTTGACACATGGTCAAACATTGTGGGGAAGATGTAGTAGTGCTCTGGTGCAAGCTTGTGCGAAGCACTATTGTGCCCAGATTGTAGAGAGCGCTAGCTGGAAATTCCAAAGCAAGACTTGGCCCCTAAACCCTAAACCTTAAACCCTAAACCCTAAGCCCTAAACCCTAAACCCTAAATCCTGGGCTTCAGGATCCCAGCTCAACAAACTCCTTGAGAAGTTTCTTTCTGTGGGCATTCCCAGGCCCCTAAACCCCCAAACCCCAAAACCCTAAGCCCTAAACCCTAAAACCTAAACCCGAAACCCTAAACCCTAAACCCTAAACCCTAAACCCTAAACCCTAAACCCTAAACCCTAAACCCTAAACCCTAAACCCTAAACCCTAAACCCTAAGGCTCGGTAGCCGAATCGTGCAGCGTGACTCTGGAGGCCAGCTCGGGATCCTCCATCTTCACGGTTTATTCGGTTGCTTTAGAGGGTTGAGGTTTAGGGTTTAGGGTTTAGGGTTTGGGGTTTAGGGTTTCGGGTTTAGGCTTGAGGTTTAGGGTTTAGGGTTTAGGGTTTGGGGTTTAGGGTTTGGGGTTTAGGGTTTCGGGTTTAGGGGTTTAGGTTGCCGCTAGAGGTTACTTTTCGACGATGGAGCTGCTTGCAAGAAGAACTGACAGAGTCACCACAAATTAAGACCAGCCCGACTCGGGGTCTCGGGCTTAGGATGTGTGGTCGAGGAAGGCTCGGTGTGTTGCACGGCTGCTGGCTCAGCTTTTTTGGGCCCTTGTGTAGCCCTGTATGCGTGTAGAAAGCACTGCAAGCCATTTAAGATCCCTAGTGAGTGTAATAGTAGGCTTTTTGGGTGCCTCATTTCTTTGCCAGGCTTTACTATGAATCCTCAACGCTAGGCACTAAACCCAGCAGGCCTCCCATGCCCCGCGCCCTGCCAGGACGTCAAGTCACAGCAAGCACGGCAGGTGGACCTGGAGCAGGAGACGAGAGCATTTTGTCACTTCTTACTACTGTGATTCTTGCCATTATCGTATCATGTTCCTGTTATTTCTGCTATTACTGTTATTTTTGTTATTCTATATATATATATATGTATATATATATATATATCTGTATATGCATATATACATATGTATATATATATATATATGCTTTATTGTTATTGCTGTTATGACTTTCATCATGTCATTCTTGCCATGTTTTTGAGATTTTGTTTGCTGTTTTGGTTATATTTTTGTTGAGAAGGTTTGTATTGCCGTTATTGTTGATACTGTGCAGTCCAAACAAGAATATCAACCAGTCACGAAATATGGTTGTTTTTGCTGCTTTTCGCCATTGTCGAAATTGCCTTCTGTCGGAGCCAGGCTTGCATATTCTTTTCATGATTTTGTGGCTTTGCTTTGTCGAGCCCAAAGCCCTGAAGCCCGAATGTTCGCTGACGTTCGTGGGGTTAAGGGTTTACCATAAACCCTAAACCCTAAACCCTAAACCCTAAACCCTAAGGGTTGGCTTGTTGGGGCTTGCGGGCTTAGAGGTGGCGGGTTTGGGAGTAGTCGGGTTTATGGCTTTGGGATTGGGGTTTGAGGCTTTGCATGTTGTGGACTTGGGTGCGCTAGTGCGAAGTTCGTGTCTTGCAGTAAGGCGGAGGCTACACTCTGAACCAAACCGGTAGGTTTAGGGTTTTAAGTTAAGCTCTCTATCCCCAACAAACCTAAGCATTGAATGACGCGGCGCTTTCCCTCCCAGCCCCCTTTGCCCCCAAAACCCTATATATGCGCCCGCGTTCCGTGTACTCGACCCCCCCGCCAATGGCATCCACCCACCCCTCAAGCCTTAAAACTCAAACCCACCAATGTGAACGACAGGAGGGAGAAGGGTAAACCCGAAACCTTTGCCGCTTTAACCCTGAAACCTCAACCGTAAACCCAGCACGAACCACAGGGGGGAGAGGGGAAACTTTAAACCTACCATTGACCCAAACCTTGAACCCTAATCAAATTCTAAACCAACAGTGAACCAATCGACCAGAGTGAAAATCCTGAACCCTGCAGCCTAACCCTAAACCCCATGAACCACAGACCATGAACCATAGCGGGGGGGGAACCCCAAACCCACCATGAACCACAGAAAGGGGATACTATGGGGGGAGGGGGGGGGAGGGGGGGAGTGCGCCTATGCTGGCCCATATAACCCTAAACCCGAAACCCGAAACCCTAAACCCTAAACCCGAAACCCCAAACCCCAAACCCCAAACCCTAAACCCGAAACCCTAAACCCTAAACCCCAAAACCCCGAACCCCGAACCCTGAACCCTGAACCCTAAACCCTAAACCCCGAAACCTAAACCCTAAACCCTAATCCCCAAACCCAATCCCTAAACCCTAAACCCTAAACCCTAAACCCTAAACCCTAAACCCTAAACCCTAAACCCTAAACCCTAAACCCTAAACCCTAAACCCTAAACCCTAAACCCTAAACCCTAAACCCTAAACCCTAAACCCTAAACCCTAAAACCCTAAACCCTAAACCCTAAACCCTAAACCCTAAACCCTAAACCCTAAACCCTAAACCCTAAACCCTAAACCCTAAACCCTAGGTCTCAGATTTTTCGGAGGTTCCTAAACCCTCCCAGAAGAACGAGAAACCGAAAGGATCTGCTGCGTCTCCTTGCGGGAACAGAGCAGTGCGGCTTGGGTCGGCATCTGGAGGAGCAGAGCATGTTCAGGGTTTAGGGTTTAGGGTTTAGGGTTTAGGGGTTCACTGTAAGCCCTAAACCCTACAAAACCTTGGGCCCTAAACAGCTACCAATCTCCAAGGCAATTCTCAAGAAGAGAGCCACTCCAGCGGCGGCCTCGGCAGAGTGCATGGACCAGGACGTCCCGGACGATGTGAAGCACCAGATCCAATCCTTGACGACTCGCCTGGTGGCACTGAGGGACAAGCACGGGATCTGAGTGAGGGTTTAGGGTTTCGGGTTTAGGGTGTAGGGTTTAGGGTTTAGGGTACGCAAATCATTTTCTACGAATATGGCCTTGGCCCAGAGGCAGAGGACTATGAGCCTCTGGGAGTACCCGGTGAAGTTTTCACCTCCGATTTGACTTCTCGGAGCGGCTGCGCTACCGCGGAGTCCAGATGTTACTCCACTGTAGGTCCTTAGGGGTTTAGGGGTTAGGGTTCAGGGGTCTAAGAGTGCAGGGGTTTGGGGGTTTGGGTTCGAATTGTCTAGTGGTTTGGAAAGGTGGGGGGAGAGGATTTATAGTCCAGGATTGAGTAGCCTCGCCAGCAGCCTTCGTGGCCCAAGACAGCAACCCCTTACCCATTAGTTGAAATCTGACATATCTCTTGGGATGTTCCCCCTTATACTAACTTTCTAGGGGGGGGGCACTATAATCCCTATTCAGGACTGTTAGTATAAGGGAGAAGCACTGAAGAGTTCGAAGAGAGCCCAATACCCCTCAATTGAAGGCATCTTCTCTTTAGGGTTTGGGGCTCAGTAATCTACCAATAACATACCCTTGCCGGGAAAAAATGCACTTTAGCTGAAAGTTCGAGGCCCACGCAACTCGAGGCCTTGAATCCCTGAACCCCTGAACCTCTGAAACCCTGCCTCCCAAACCCACTGAATCCCCAAAACCCTAAGCCCTCACCCCCTCAACCCCTCAACCCCTCAACCCCTCACCCCCTCAACCCCTCAACCCCTCAACCCCTCACCCCCTCAACCCCTCAACCCCTCAACCCCTCAACCCCTCAACCCCTCAACCCCTCAACCCCTCAACCCCTCAACCCCTCAACCCCTCAACCCCTCAACCCCTCAACCCCTCAACCCCTCCACCCCTCAACCCCTCAACCCCTCAACCCCTCAACCCCTCAACCCCTCAACCCCTCAACCCCTCAACCCCTCAACCCCTCAACCCCTCAACCCCTCAACCCCTCAACCCCTCAACCCCTCAACCCCTCAGCCCTAAACCCTAAACGCTAAACGCTAAATCCTAAACCCTAAACCCTAAACCCTAAACCCTAAACCCGAAACCCTAAACCCTAAACCCTAAACCCTAAACCCGTCAACCCCTCAACCCTAAACCCTAAACCCCTAAACCCCTAAACCCCTAAGCCCTTACAGAGGAGCAGCGGAAGAAGCAAGGGATGCGCGCCCTTGCAGTGCTGATCGGGTGGCCTCCTCGACTATGCTTGTGGGGATGTGTTCAGGGTTTAGGGTTTAGGGCTTAGGGTTTAGGGTTTAGGGTCCAGGGTGAAGTGTATTGTGATGATTGTGGCTTTTTGGGGCGGCTGTACAGTGTCAGTGCTTAGGGTTTAGGATTGATGGGGGGGTTCTAGGGCTGAGGCTTTTTTGGTCCCAGAACTTTTCTTTGGGGAGGGAGGGAGGGAAGGTGGACTGCTGGGCTCCGGGGTTTAGGGGCTAAAGCCCTTGGGACAGTTTGTGTTTTTCAAATGCTGGGTGTAGGGTTTAGGATTATAGGGTTTGGGGTTTAGGGTTTGGGGTTTGGGGTTTGGGGTTTAGGGTTTAAGAGGCTTCTATTCACGATGTTTTTCAGAGGGTCTAGAAGGCCAACCTAGTTCCTGGACGCCAAGGTACCAAGAATTCTTAGCTATCCTGGAACCCCTAAACCCTAAACCCTAAACCCGAAACCCTAAACCCTAAACCCTAAACCCTAAACCCTAAACCCTAAACCCTAAACCCTAAACCCTAAACCCTAAACCCTAAACCCTAAAACCTAAGCCCTAAACCCTAAACCCTAAACCCTAAACCCTCAATGCAGCGTTTTGGAGTTGAGGGGCTTAAGGGCTCAGGGGGCTGAGGTCTGAGGGGTGAACGTGCCTTCAGGCTGAACCCCAAACCCCAAACCCCAAACCCCAAACCCCAAACCCCAAACCCCAAACCCCAAACCCCAAACCCCAAACCCCAAACCCCAAACCCCAAACCCCCAACCCCAAACCCCAAACCCCACACCCCAAACCCCAAACCCCAAACCCCAAACCCCAAACCCCAAACCCCAAACCCCAAACCCCAAACCCCAAACCCCAAACCCTAAACCCTGACCCTAAACTGCCGAGAGCGCCGCTGTCCATTTACATGGTCGCTCGAGGCTTCGACCGAGGTCCCTGACCGAGCGTCTCCACAGAACGGTGAGGGAGGGTAAAGCCTCCCGGTAGACGGGGCTTGCAGTGCCTGGCTAGGGCGCAAGCCCAAATTTTTTGGGGACCCCAAACCCCGCACCGTTGGCGCCGTCATGTGTTTTTTGGGGGGTGGGGTACCCCGGGGGGTCTGGGGGATGGGCTGGCAGATTCCAAGGTCCTCCCCCGGTCACTCTTGAGACCTTCCTGAGGGAGTGCCCGGGCTGTCTTCCGACCCTCCTTGTACCCTTGAAACCTTGTGCCCAACCTGGGAGCCTGGACCCTTCTGTGGGACCTTGACTTTGCAAATTGTTTTCATGGTTGGAAGCAGGGCCCGGCCGAGGCCCCTGCTTCCCCCTACCGTTTTGCTGCCCTAAGACTGCGTGAAGCCCCGCGATCCAGGATTTGCCCAGACCCGTCATGAATCTGTGGGTTTTTTAAATTGCAATCGACGGTTTTGGGCACCCCTCCATTTTACTCCGTGAAAGCTCGCCTACGAGCCACTGACAGGCACCACAAAGCTCGGGAGGCCCCACCCTGCTTTTTTTCTGTAAAAGGCCAGAGAGCCCTCAAGTGGGACCCTAAACCCTAAATGAGAATGGTTTGGGTGGTTGACGTGCTAAATGCAAGCGAGCGGCCCGGGCGCTTTTAGCACCAGCGAGCTTCCCATCTATACACCCCAAACCCCAAACCCCAAACCCCAAACCCCAAACCCCAAACCCCAAACCCCAAACCCCAAACCCCAAACCCTAAACCCCAAACCCTAAAACCCTAAACCCGAAACCCTAGGGTTGAGGGTTTTAAGGGTTTTTGAGCTGATCCTGAGCCCCACACCGCAGGCACCACCAGATCCTCAATGAGCCGGCAAACTTCAACTCCTGCACCCTTGGACTCTATCCCTTGAGGCAGCGTGGGGTAGGGTTTAGGGTTTAGGGCTTAGGGTTGAGGGTTGAGGGTTTAGGGTTGAGGGTTGAGGGTTGAGGGTCGAGGGTTGAGGGTTACGGTTTGCGGTTTAGGATTTAGAAGTTTAGGGTTTATGGTTTGGGGGTCCCCCGCAAGCCAAAAGAGGAAGCACATCCTAAATGTGCCTGATTTGCGCCTTATTTCGGGCTTGGGGTAGTTCAGGTGGGGTTAGTATAGGATTAGAGTAGGATCTGTACCACGAAGGTTGTTAGTTTGTACATGTTTGGAGGCGCCGGTTGCAAAAGAACAGGCAGTGCAAGCCGTTTTCGGGGTAATATTGTTGGATGCCATGACTTGTTCGCATGTTCTGGGGGTGGTTTTAGGTGGTTTTAACTGTATGTTCACAATGCTCACCGAATTTTCTTCCATGTTAAAAAAAATGCGTGCGCTTTAACCAAGCTTCTTGCATCACGACTCTTCTTTTGTTTCAGGGTCATCCGTCCGTTGGTACCTTCCACCTCCCCCACCCCCCCCCCCCCTGTGTGTGGTGCGGGGTTTAGGTTTAGGGTTTGGCGTCCAGGGTTTAGGGTATGTGACACCCTGCTTCTCGCTGCGCATCTTTGAGAATATCTCCAGCCCATCTACTGCTCATAGGTTGTGTTTTGGCATGTTCCCCCTTGTACTAACAGTCCTTAATAGGGATTATCATTGATGGAAACTATAATCCATATTAAGGACTGTGAGTATAAGGGAGAACATCCGTTGGTGTGGGGTGGGCAATGTACATGTGCATTTTCAGAGTGGGCTGTCCAGGAGCTTCATGTTCCTGGACAAAGCGGCCTTTTCGGCTTTGAATGCCTCAGCCCTGGAAAGACAGGGCCCAAGTAGGAAGCGTTTTAGGTCTTTAGGTGGGTTAGGGGCCCCCGATACAGCAGTGGCCCCTGTGGGTTTCATCACTTAGAGACTTGAGGTTTAGGAGTTGAGGGGGTTGAGTTGAGGGATTTTGCGTTTAGGGTCTTGGGGTAGTTCTCAATTGGGGCACCCTTGTATACCCTTTCAACCCCAGGGCCCATACTTCATAAACTCGTGGGGGGGACCATGTATCAATTTGGGGGGTTTGTTTCGGAGCTACTTTGGTATATCGGGGCTATATAAGGTATATGTAGAGGAAGAAGGTTAGGGTCCCTTCTAGGGGTTAGGGGTTTAGGGGTCTTGGGGTTTAGGGGTTTAGGGGTCTAGGGGTTTAGGGGTCTAGGGGTTTAGGGTTTAGGGTTTAGGATGTGCGGGACAGATCTCATGCAGGTTTTTTCGAGCCGATCGCCCACAGCCCTATCTAAGGTTAACCCCTAAACCCCTAAACCCCTAAACCCCTAAACCCCTAAACCCCTAAACCCCTGAACCCCTAAACCCCTAAACCCCCAAAACCCCTAAACCCCTAAAACCCCTAAACCCCTAAACCCCTAAACCCTGAAACCCCTGAACCCCTAAACCCCTAAACCCCCAAGCCTCCAAGCCCGTAAACCCCTAAACCCCTAAGCCCCTACGCCCCTAAACCCCGAAACCCCTAAAACCCCCAAACCCCTAAGCCCAAAACCCCTAAACCCCCAAACCCCTAAACCCTAAACCCTAACCCCTAAGCCCTAGTCTCACAGACCTTGCAGCGTAGAGCTCCAGGCTTCTCGCGGTGCCGAAGCACGGATAGCACTCCAGACCCAATCACCTGATTCTCAGACCCCTTAGGAACTATTTTGAAGGTTTTGTTAATTTACAACCTAAGGGAATTTCAAGAATATATTTTCAAGATTCTAGGGGGAGTTGAGGAAAAAAGAAAAGAGGGGCATCGCTAGTCTTTTTTAGAGCGTTAGCGATGTCTGTGAGCGTGTTGGGTCATGACAGGGTGCGACAGCGAGCCCGAGAGAATCAAATGAGAGACCTAGACCCTGAACCCTAAACCCTAAACCCTAAACCCCAAACCCTAAACCCCAAACCCTAAACCCTAAAACCCCAAAACCCAAACCCTAACACTGCTTCGCCAGCTACCAGGTGCTGCCAAGGCCGGAAGAGAGCCAGAGGTGCGACTTTTTTGGAGTTAGGGCTTAGGGTTTAGGGTTTAGGGTTTAGGGTTTAGGGTTTAGGGTTTACGGTTTAGGGTTTAGGGTCCTAGGCTCCCTTAATCCCTTTAGGGTTTTCAAGCAGCTTGAGTCTGAGTAACCACGGAGTTGCACACGTTAATCCGAAAACCCTAAGCTCATGTTTTCCCCTACTACCCTACTCTATACTATTTCAGGTTTAGGGTTTAGGGTTTGTTTAGGGTTTAGGGTTTAGAGATACTACCCGCCCTAGGTTCACCCCATAATTAAGGCCATTTAGGGATAACTAAGCCTAATTAAGGTTATTTAAGGGGGGGAACCCATGACAAGCCTGCTACCCCACTCCCTGTCTGTTGGGGCGCTGGTCGCGGGCTCAGCGAGACCCTGCGAGGGAATTTATGAATGAATGACGCATGAAGCCCAAGATGTAATGATTCCGAAGCCTGATTAGTCCTGTCTTAACGTGAGCACAACAACTGAGCTCTCCAAACTCGCCTGTCAATGCACCATTTTTTTAAGCATTGACTTCGCTCTCTGGTTTTATCATCATTTCTCCTTTTGCACGGCGGCAAAACACAGTTCTTGTATCCACGCGTATTCACATCATAATTAATGCAATGCATGTGAAGGATGTAGCGACGGTACGGACCATGGACCCTCATTTTCCCCCTTTCCTTCGCCTTATCAATTACAACAACGAAGTTACCTCCCGAGGGAATCATGTTGTACCAACAGCATTTCATAAGAGTTCGCGGGGCTCTTGTCCTTTCAGAAGACGCCCCGTTCCTTGCAATACTCATACTGCTGTCTTGTAGTTTATAACATAGTCAGCTCGTGAGCGCAAAGAACCCTCGACAATCAACTGGATGGATGTGCTGAAGAGCCTTTTTTTTAATCCCAAATGTACTTATTATCTGGGCTAGTAAGACACCCTGACAGTAGTACTCAGTTCTCTTTGACACGTGCGTGCATCATCCCCTGTAAAGGTGCAAGTGTCACGTATAGAGTTAGCCTCAGCCATCATCAGACATGCTCCAGCCATACGCTCGATGTGGCAGTTGTTCGAAGCACGTTCTTTGCTACCCAGATGTCTTGCAACCCTCATGTAGGTTCAGGTTAGAGTTTAGAGGGGTTTGGGTTCAGTGTTTAGACCTTAGGCTTAGACGGCTTAGGGTGTATGATGCCAGGTCTGCCACGAACCTTCTGGGCTTTCTGAACAGGCCTGGAGTGAGCCGCAAGCCCTGAAGCCCCTAACCAAAAACCTGACCCCCTGAAACCCTAAAACAAAAAACTAAGCCTTAAAACTAGGCCGTAAAGCTTAAACCCACGCCCGAACAACTTCCATAAGACACCATGATTAGAAGTCCTGTTGGGAGCTCTAACACTAAAACCCTAAACCTAAAACCTAAAACCCTAAACCCTAAACCCTAAACCCGAAACCCTACACGCTAAACCCTAAACCCTAAACCCGAAACCCCAAACCCCAAACCCGAAGCCGTAAGCCCTAAACTCTCAACCCTAAACCCTAAACCCTGAACCCCATTAAGGAGGCTTGGGCTCCTTTGTCTCGGAGTTCAGGTCTTTCGCTCAGTATGATGCCCGAAGCCTAAAGCACGACCGCACGGGCCGCACGGGGCTGCCATTCAGGGTCGACTAGGGTTTAGGGTTTAGGGGTTAGGGTTTCGGGTTTAGGGTTCAGGGTTTAGGGTTTAGGGTGACTCGGCTTTAGCTGTAGGGTCTAGGGTCTGGGGGTTTCGGGAGTGCTTGGATTGCAGCAAGTTTGCTCCCTCAAGAGACGTGACGTGGCTTGAAAACTTCACCATGATGATGCGCGCCCTCCTTGCCATCCTGTCGGTGCTGGCGGAAGGCGCGGCGCCGTGGCCGTAAACCCTAAAACCCCTTAGCCCTAAACCCTAATTAAGCCCTAAACCCTAAACCCTAAACCGCAGGCTTGATAGGGGTTAGGGCTTAGGGCTTAGGGTTCCCTAAGCCTTAAACTCAACCTTAAACCATAAGGCTTCGAAGGCTTCGGCGCAGAAGTTTCGATTCTGCAGTCGGGTCTCCGCGCTTGGGGAAGATTCGGGAGAGTTTGGCTTGGTCTTGAGAAGCATTTGTGCGGACTAGGCTTTAGGGTTTTGGGTAAGACTTGCCATGCAGGGCTCAATGTTTTGGGGTTTTGGGTTGTTTTGGGTTCAGGCTTAGGGTGGGGGTTTAGGCCTCTAGTGGACGAGGGCAAGATCAATGAAAGGGTTTAGGGTTTAGGGTTTAAAGGGCCCTCCGGCCCAGCCGTCTCCAGCACAAACGTTTGAGGCTCCTTGCGATCGGCTCTCTGGCTTTGTCTGACCAGGCCACCTACTTGAACCTCCTTGAACCCTAAACCCTAAACCCTAAACCCTAAACCCCAAACCCTAAACCGTAAACCCTAAACCCTAAACCCTAAACCCTAAACCCTAAACCCTAAACCCTAAACCCTAAACCCTAAACCCTAAACCCTAAACCCTAAACCCTAAACCCAACTTCAGGGAGTGGAGAGCCTGGGAAGGGCCCCTGGCAGGACTGCGCGAGGCCCGGCTCGAATCGAACCACTCCGCCGTGCCCTCCTGTGAGACGCCGCTCGGCTTTGACCCAATCAAGCCCTGAACCCTGAGGGTTTAGGGTTTAGGGTTTAGGGTTTAGCATGGAGCCTAGGTTGGTCTGTAGTGACGCAGTGGTTGCCGGCAGGCGGCACTTGAAGCATCTCCAGGAACCCAAAACCCAAAACCCAAAACCCAAAACCCTAAACCCTAAACCCTAAACCCCAAGACCCTAAACCCTAAACCCGAAACCCTAAACCCTAAACCCTTAACCCTACACCCGAAACTCTAAGCCGTGTACCCGAAACCCTGATTCAGCCTCGTTTGCGAACGGAACGAGACAACGAAAAACAAGCAGCAAGTAGTGCCTGTGGTGCCAACCAGCCCTCGAAAATCCGAGGGGTCCAAATTGCGAAGACCCTGAATCCTCACCCCCCAAGTGCCAAATCCTAAAACCGATGCGCTAAGCCATAAACCCTGTATCCTAAGCCTAGACCCCTAAACCCTCAATCACCAAAACACTAAACCCTAAACTCTAAACTCAAAACTCTAAACTCTAAACCCTAAACCCTAAACCCTAAACCCAAGACCCTAAACCCTAGACCCTAAACCCTAAACCCTAAACCCTAAAGCCTGAACCCTAAACCCTAGACCCTAAGCCCTAAACCCTAAACCCTACACCCTAAACCCCGAAACCCTAAACCCGAAACCCTAAACCCTAAACCCTAAACCCTAAACCCTAAACCCTAAACCCTAAACCGTATCCTAAACCCTAAACCCTAAAAGCTAAACCCTAAACCGAACCCTAAACCCTAGACCGGAAACCCTAAAACCTAGACCCTAAACCGCCTAAACCTTAAATCCTAAACCTCGCATCGCACCCTAAAGCCACGAGAAGCTTCGCCTCAGGTGGAGCAAGACGCCCAGTGGCGCTGGGCTTGTTGAAGTGTTAGCGAACATGCCGGGATGCGAGCCTGAACCCTAAACTCTAAAGCCCTCAAGTGGTTTAGTGCAGGGTTTAGGGTTTAGGGTTTAGGGTTTAGGGTTTAGGGTTTAGGGTTTAGGGTTTAGGGTTTAGGGTTTAGGGTTTAGGGTTTAGGGTTTAGGTTTTAGGGTTTAGGTTTTAGGGTTTAATGTTTAGGGTTTAGGGTTTAGGGCTTAGGGTTGAGGGTTTAGGGTTCAGGGTTTAGGGCTTAGAGTTCAGGGAACGCAAAAGTCTGCACCATGCCCCCCCTCCGAATGAAGGACTTGATGCCTGAACCCTCAACCCCCCGAACCCCGGCTAGCCTCTTAAAAATCCGGGAATCCACCCCAGACCCAAGCACGGAGTCGTTTGGTGAATAGGTTTTGGCTTCAGGCCTTCAATTGCAACCACAATGGCTTACGAATTTGCTCATCTTTGGAAACTCCGGAACAGTAATATCAGTCCTTATAAGAATAGAATTGTGTTCATCAGTTATATTCATCAGCAAATAGGTTTATATCTCCAGGAAATAGGACCATATCTCCAGAAAACCAGAGCTTCTATGGCACAAACATTACATTGCATGGCATTCTTATGATCTTCTTTGTAGAAATGCCTGGCTTGTTGGAAGGATGTGGAAATTGTTTTGTACCCGTCTTTCAAGGGCCCAACAGTGGTATGCACTAGAATCAATAATTTGTCTATCTTAATTATTTTGCATTCATGTCTTTTTCCTAATCCTTACCATAACCTCAGAATTCGGAGGTGGTCCAAGGTGAACATTTTTCCCACCATGGTCCACTTCTTTTATGACTATATCACCTTCAAGTACAGGAAGCCCTTTATTTGGATTGGGAAGTGACCTTGCCACTGCCAACTTGGCTCTGTGAAAGGAGCAAGCCTCCATGGTCAAATGCCAGACATCAGGCCAGATTCATGCTGGAGCCACAGCCGTGGAGCGAAAGTTTTGACACTGCGTACCTGGGCGTCGTGGATGAGGCCTCAGACGAAGTTGCAAGCGGCTTTGGAGGCACTGTCCGCAAGGGCAGGTGGTCTGACTTCACCGTGGCCTCGAGGCAATTTCACCGCGGCGATGCCGAAGTGTTTCAGGCAGGAAGCACGCGAAAAAGTAGTCGTTGACAACCAGCCCCCTTCACCACACTGCCCTCTAAACCAAACAGAAGAACAGGAGGGAGAAGAAGATGCTGGGCTTCCACTCCGCCCACGGCCACTCGAAAACAAAGATGGTATTCGGGCCCTTCCAAACAAAAGGGAAAGGGCTTTCAAAGCCACTACGCAGAAAACAACGAAGAACCAACATGGGGAAGAAGAACCATATTTTTGACGATGATGGTGATGGTGATGACGATGGCGCTGACGCTGATGCTGTTGCTTGTGGTGACGTTCCTGCTTGTAGTGGTCGTGGTGAGATAGCAAGTATGATGTTCTTGATGATGATTATTTCTTTCCGCCGTAAAGAGGTTGGCAATGCGATCTATGGGCAAAGGTATTTTAAGTGATGATGATGATGATGATGGTGATGAAGATGACGATGATGATGATGATGATGATGATGATGAGCGCAGCCTTGTTTCAGGAGCTGTATTATGGACTTCTGATTGGTGCATCGCCCACGCTAGGCTTCTGCACGACATCTCACGGCGAGCCGCGGCTTGTGTCTGCTTGGCTGCCTGAAACACTTCTTCAGTATGTGCAGCGTATGTCGTCCTTGGAAAATTGGTGCAACAAGCGCCTCATTTGCGACATGCTCCTGGCTGTCCTGAGTGTGCATAGTCTTGATCTCGTGCACTGCGACCTGAAGCCCGACAACATGATGGTGGATGATGACGGCGCGCTCTACCTCATCGACTTCGGGTGCATTTCACGACCGGGCGACCCAGGCCCCATGTCGTGCGGACGCTACAGGCCTCCAGAATATCGCTTGTTTCCGTATCTTGGGACGTGTACGCCATTGGGTGAGTGTTATATCAAAGCCGTAAATAAAGCTTTAACCATAAAACTGCTCGATCCGGATTGCTGAACCCTAAACCCTAAACCCTGGACCCTAGGGGATGCGGATCAAAAAAAATTATTTAGGATCAAGAAAAATTTATTTAGGATCAAGAAAAAATTTATTTAGGATCAAAAAAATTATTCTCTTCTTCCGACGGAGAAAGAGAAAATGGGATGGAGGGAGGGAGAAAAGGAGGGAGGGAGGGAAGGAAGGGCGGAAGGACGGAAGGACAGGAAGGAAGGAAGGAAGGAAGGAAGGAAGGAAGGAAGGAAGGAAGGAAGGAAGGAAGGAAGGAAGGAAGGAAGGAAGGAAGGAAGGCAAGGAAGCAAGGAAGCAAGGAAGCAAGGAAGCAAGGAAGCAAGGAAGCAAGGAAGCAAGGAAGCAAGGAAGCAGGGAAGGAAGGGAAGGAAAGGAAAGGAAAAGGAAAAGGACAAGGAAAAGGAAAGGAAAAGGAAAAGGAAAAGGAAAAGGAAAAGGAAAAGGAAAAGGAAAAGGAAGGCCGGAATCAAGAAAGACAGAAAAAGGCAATTTCACAAAAGAAAGAAAGCAAGGAAGACGTCATGCCAGCTTGCTTCAAAGCATACGTATTCTGGCCTTTGGTTGCTTGGTGCTGTGCTCCTAAGGTCCTCTGGTCCCATGGTTTCCCGGTCCCGTGGTCAGAGTTTGTTTTTATTTATTGCTTTTTGGTCATAATGGTATATTTAGTTCTGTAGGAAAACATAACATAACATATGATATATGTATGTGTATATATTAAAACAAAGTACAATGATATTATATAGTGGAATAGAGTATCATAGAACACAATATCGTATAGTATACCTTTGTATGTTAAAAAAACATCAAAAATCGTAGTAAGAAAGCGTATATGTATATATATATATATATATTTAATGCTATTTGTATATATAAACTTCATAATACACAAAACATATTTATTGTTTGTTTGGCGCCGGGCAAGCTTGTTCAACGCGTATGAATCCCTTCCAAACCCATGATGCGAGCATTGTGTTTGCAAATGGGGGGGGGTCTGCGCCCCCCCTTCAAACCCCCCGCTGTTTTTTAAGCCAGCATATGAATATCCTTTCCAAACCAATGATGCGAGCGTTGTGTTTGCAAATGGGGGGGGCTGCGCCCCCCCCAACCCCCCCGCTGTTTTCTTAGTCCGGGCAAGCTTGCTTCAAAGCACATGAATCCTTCCAATCCCATGATGCGAGCACTTTTTTGCATAATATAATAATACACAAAAATACAACACTTTTCAAGTATATACAAGAATATGCAGCAATATACACGTAAAACAAGAATAACTTACAACAATTTTCAGTAATTGACAATAGTATTCAATAATCGACAACAATATACAATAATATACAAAAATGTACAATAATACACAACAATATATACAATAATTTTCGAAAATATACAAAAATATACAGTAATATAGAAAAACACAAAAACTCAATGACATGCAATAATGTAACATAGTATACAATAATATACAATAATAGACAATAATATACAATGACATACAATAATATACTATAATATAGAATAATCTGCAGTAACATACAAAGAAAACTCAATAATATACAATAATGTACAGTAATCTACAAAAAAGAGAATAATACACAATAATTTTGAAAATATACAATAACATTCAATAATATGCAACAATATAAAGTATTATACAAAAATACAAGAAAATACACGACAATACAATAATACTCAACAAGATGTACAACAATATACAATAATATGCAAGAATATACAATGTCATACAATACTATACAAGAATATACAATACTATGCCATAATATACATGCTTCAGAGTATACGCATTTTTTGGAAACTTCTAATGCCAAGATGCCAGCATTGATTTGCAGCCTCTGCAAACTCAGAAATGCTGCTATTTACAGTATTTCCAGCCTTTGAAATCACAGAAATGCTGCTTTTTTCAGTATTTGCAGCCTCTGGAAACTCAGAAATGCTGCAGTGTACAGTATTTCCAGCTTCTGAAAGCGCAGAAGTGCTGCTATATACAATATCTGCAGCCTCTCTGGGAACTCAGAAATGCTGCTATTTTCAGTAGTTCCTGCATAAATGCTGTGTTTGTCCGGTATTTAGAGCTTGCGAACGGCCAGAACTGCTGCATTTCTGAGCGTTTACGGCCTCCGCTTCGCTTGCAAGAAGCCTTCGAAGCCTTCAGTAAATTTTTTTGATCCCAAATAAGTTTTTTCTGATCCGCCTAGAAATAACTTATTTTTTGATCCCAAATAAGTTTTTTTTGATCCCCTACCCGACCCGAGACCCTAAACCCTAAACCCTAAACCCTAAACCCCAAACCCTAAACCCTAAACCCTAAACCCTAAACCCGAAACCCTAAACCCTAAACCCTAAACCCTGCTGGATGAATGCCGTGGGGCCTCGCAGGCGTGGAATTTTGAGGTTCAGGATTGGGGCTCAGCGTGTCGGACCCAGGAATGGTGAGGATCTCAGGGTTTTTGTGTGTAGGGTTTAGGGTTTAGGGTTTCGGGTTTAGGGTTTCGGGTTTCGGGTTTAGGGTTTCGGGTTTCGGGTTTCGGGTTTAGGGTCTAGGGGTTCTAAAGTTCTAAGGCTTGCAAAACACTCCTCACGTCACCCCACCTTAGCCCCTGGCTTCAATGCGTGTTGGGCTTTGGGTCTGCGCCCTACCAGATTCCAGCTTTCTAAGGGGAACTAACTCACCATTTTGGCCTAAGCTTGCCCAAAAAAGCTCGATGTTTCCTAAACCCCAAACCCCTACATGTGAGAAGAGAAATATATAGATGACAAGGCAAGGGTCACTGATTGGATACCAAAGACCGTTGATAGCAAAATCCCAGAAATTATTCTGGAAATGATCCCAAATGCAGGGAATTCTTAAGATGCAAACTTCTGGATGTCCCAAAAAAACCCAAAAGAACACATGCTGATTGAAGACAAGATCTCCTCCAAATACAGGATCAACGAAAAGCGCATTAAAAAGAAATCCCCCACAAAGGAAAAAACAAAGAAATACTGCTTCCTTGTTGAGGTTGTATTAAAATTATCATTTGCTATTCCTTATTGGGAATTTAATAGGACAAAAATGTAAAATTGTAACCAACAAGGACCCAGAATAATCCCAGAGAATCCCATAACATTGAGAAAGCAAAATACGGGCAAACTTCTGAAAATAAAGCGGCCAAGTCTGAAAACAAAGCGGCCAAATTCTGATAAAAAACTGCCAAATTCTGAAATTCAATTAAGGTGTCAATATATACGGTAGAGAGGGTTTAGGGTTTAGGGTCCCAGAGAGCCAAATAGCCCTCGCCTAAGGAATGCGTTTTAATTCATCAGGAGGCCTTTGCGTTGAAGGCTTATTCCTTCAATTGGAGTAGAGGACTCTCTGTATCACCATAAGGGTCAAACGGGTCTAAGTTTAGGGGCGCGGTCCTTGGCATCAGGAAAAGCAAGGCGTACAAAGCATCTCAGCTGCAAGAGATAGTCGCTGCTCGAACAGCATTCGTGTTGCCGGATGTTCGGGGTTCAGCGTTCAGCTTTTTCATTCGTTGCTAAGGCAGAGCACGACGATCCGTGCGAAAGTTATCTCAGCCGCTTGGGCCATGCAACTCCGGAATTCTAGCATGTATGCCGAAGGTGCGCAGGCATAGAGTACATGCCAGGGACGTCTAACCTTGTTTGTGAACCGAGAGCTAGATTCGCGCAATGAATCTGATAACAGGCCAAAGCCCATGAAGCCTGAACCCTGAAGCCGAAGTAAACCCCTAAAGCCCTGTGTGCGAGTGATGGTGCAAACGTGCTTCAGTTGGCTGAACCTGGGTTAAGGTAAGGGTTTAGGGCCTAGGGGGCTGAGAAGGTGGCGGTTAGTGCTTACGGAAGGTTTAGGGTGTTGGGTTTTGGGCCAAGTTTTGGGTCCAAAGGTCCCCCCCCCCCCCCCGGGGCCTCTCCAAGGAGAAGTTCTGAGCCCCAAATGCGCGCCAAGGCACGCTAAAGTGCTGCCATGGGAAGTGCATCTTCAAACAGCAGAAGTGCCTTGGCCCTTGGGTTTACCTGGGACGCCCGTTGCCTACAAGTTAGTAGCAACCACCCCTTACATTACAGTAAACTCCAGAAAGTTGGAACATGGTTTAAGGATGATTAGAGCTGGGACTCCCTTTTGTTTTCCTTTCGGGGTATGGGGACAAGGATGTTCCAACTTTTCGGAGTTTACTGTAGTAGGAACCCATAAACTGTAGGTAAAGGGAGTCCCAGGCTCGAGGGCCACTGCTGACAGCCCTTCGGTGTGACCCTAAACCCTAACTAAACCCTAAACCCGAAGCCCTAAACCCTAAACCCTAAACCCTAAACCCTAAACCCTAAACCCTAAACCCTAAACCCTAAACCCTAAGCCCTCCTCGACCCCCAGCCCTGCGCCCCAAACCCCAAAACCCAGGCTGGACAGTTTTGCAGGCCCATTTTTTGAGATGCAACTCTTCGTCTCCCTTGCACATGCATACTCGAAACCATATAGAGGAAACCCTAAGCCCCGGTATGTTTAGGGCTCCGCGGCTCACCCTTCAATCCCAGATCGTGTAACTGTGTAACCGCAAACCTGCCTAAAGTAGAACGCACTTCAGAGAAGGATTCGCGGTCTGGACCCAGGGTTCAGGGTTTATAGGCTTTGAAAGCCTCAACCCAAAAAAGTGTGCTGAAGTGTTTGCATCCTGTGTGCATCCTCCGCGTGGCCACGCCCCCAAAGGAAACGCGAAAGGCTCAGCCACGCACTGCATATCCCAAGCACCGATTTCTCTTCACAAGGGTTCAGGGTTTCGGGTTGAGGCGTTAATGGCACGACAAGCCCCACTGAGTCCGAAGCCCCTAAACCCTCAACCCTAGACACTAAACCCCAAACCCTAAACCCTAAACCCGCTAAACCCGCTACACCCGCTAAACCCACTCAACCCCCTCAACCCCCTCAACCCCCTCAACCCCCTCAACCCCCTCAACCCCCTCAACCCCCTCAACCCCCTCAACCCCCTCAACCCCCTCAACCCCCTCAACCCCCTCAACCCCCTCAACCCCCTCAACCCCCTCAACCCCCTCAACCCCCTAAACCCTAAACCCTAAACCCTAAACCCCCTAACCCTAAACCCTAAACCCCCTAAACCCCCCTAAACCCTAAACCCTATAAGTGCATCCCTACACCTTATTTGCTGATCCAGCCGAGTTGCCCGATTGTCTCGGCATGGGGCTTCTTTGATGACAGCCCGCTGTCGTGCAGCTCCTAAGCTGCACCTGTTTCAGGTGACGATGTCCTCTAGCCCTAAACCCTAAACCCTAAGCCCTAAACCCTAAACCCTAAACCCCAAACCCGAAACCCTAAACCCTAAACCCTAAACCCTAAACCCTTACCCGAAAAAGGCTATCCCTAAGGCGTGCCCACGGCCACCCTTTTTTCGGACCTGCAGTTCAACCTCTCGTTCACATGCAGCGTGCAGAGCACCAAAAAGCTTGAAGGTGTGATCCACACCTTTCGTGTGTTGGGGTTTAGGGTTTAGGGTTTAGGGTTTAGGGTTTAGGGTTTAGGGTTTAGGGTTTAGGGTTTAGGGTTTAGGGTTTAGGGTTTAGGGTTTAGGGTTGAGGGTTTAACTCGCATCATTCTTACATTCTGCCTTGTGCGCAGGTCTCACCTGTCCCCCCCTTTGTGGGTCTATATGGTGCATGATGCTGTATGTGCTTTTGCCTGCAGCAAGTTGCTCTCCAATCTTCGTTTGTGGAAAGTTGGGCAGCGCGTAGCAACCCCAAACCCTAAATCCTAAACCCTAAACCCTAAATCCTAAACCCTAAACCCTAAATCCTAAACCCTAAACCCCAAAGAGGATGCTCAACAACTGGCGCTCTGCACCTGAGGCAGCTGCGACAAGGAAATGCCAGCTGACAAGATGGAATTGGCACAGAGCCTTTGTGAATCTGCAGCACTCGTCCCTTACTTGGTAGCCCTGTGGTGCCCTTTACCCTTTCTGTGTTCTGAGTTCCCTTATAAAGTGAGTAGTCAACCACATTTGGTACCCTTATGATAAGATGGTTACTGGGCTACCAAGCTTAACACGCCCCTATACGAATCTGATGATACACTCGGAAATGCTCATTCAGGATCCCATACACAGGTGTTACTCTTGGGAGGAAGAGATAGTACTCAGACCCAAACCCCAAACCCTATGCCCCAAATCACTCAGCCCCTAACCTGAACCCTAAGCCTTAAACCCCAAACCCCAAACATTAACCCTAAACCCTCAGCCCTAAACCCTAAACCCTAAACCCTAAACCCTAAACCCTAAACCCTAAACCCTAAACCCTAAGCCCTAAACCCTAAACCCTAAACCCTAAACCCTAAACCCTAAACCACCCTTAAGCCTAAACCCCTAAACCCTAAACCCTAAGACTCACCCTCAGTTTGGAACAGCCCCACAGTCCGAAGCTAGGGTTCATCAGCTTAGGGTTTAGGGTTTAGGGTTTAGGGTTTAGGGTCTAGCCTTAAACCCTGACCCAACTCTCTGCCAGCATGCCGATTAGGGGGGGAGGGGGGGCGAATCATGGGCCGACAAGCAAAAAGACCTGCTTAGAGAGCCCAAGACCCCCTTTGGGTTCAGGGTCTAGGGTTTTGGAGTTTCGGCGTATGATCTAAGACCGATGTGGATGACATTTTGAAAGAATTCGGCCAGATATTTATTTGCAACAACAGTAAACCCTAAACCCTAAACCCTGAACCCTGAACCCTAAACCCTAAACCCTAAATCCTAAACCCTAAACCCTAAACCCTAAACCCTAAACCCCAAACCCTAAACCCTAAACCCTAATCCCTAAACCCTAAACCCTAAACCCTAAACCCTAAACCCTAAACCCTAAACCAACATTGGGCTTTCGGGGTGCAGCCGAGGTGAGAGCATCCACCTCTGCGGCCATCCGGAAGCCCCGTGCAAGACCGGAGCTGAGCTTGTGGGTTTAGGGTTTAGGGTTTCGGGTTTAGGGTTTAGGGTTTAGGGTTCAGGATTTAGGGTTTCGGGTTTTAGGGTTGAGTAGGGTTTGGTTTAGGAGCTCGGGGGGCGGGTAAGCCCTACGACCTGAAGCCTAAACCCAAGACAGCCTAAAAAGATTGAACCCCTAAGCAGCCCTGGGCCGGGGAGATGCCTGGAGGGTGGCTTTCTGGCCATCTACTGATATGAACCGGTTTAGGGTGTATAGGGTTGAGGGTGGAGGGTTTAGGGTTTAGGGTTTAGGGTTTAGGGCTTTGAGTGCTGGTGCTTGCACTCGTACACCCTGTTTTTTATGCAGAAACTCCTGGGAAACCTCGTAGCATGTTGAAAGGCCGCAAGCAGACCGCAAAACTCGACAAGACTAGAGTAGCGGGTGGTCGGGGGTAGGGTTTTCGGTTTAAGGAGGGGCACCTAGAAGGGACCCTTAATCTCATTCCCCTAAAAACCCCTATGTATACCTTACATAGTCCCTAAATACTTAAGTAGCCCCGAAACAAGAACTAACCCCTAAGGTCCCTTATACAGGTTTAGGGTTTAGGGTTCAGGGTTCACGACTCTACTTCGGAACATTGCCGAATACCCCCCCTGAAGAAGACCTAAACCCTCAGTGGACGCCCGGCCCAAACCAAAGCATCTGTTGGATTTTCAGGGTTTAGGGTTTAGGGTTTAGGGTTTAGGGTTTAGGGTTTAGGGTTTAGGGTTTAGGGTTTAGGGGTGCTGACAGGCCTCTTGAAGCCTTGCCTGCCAAGAATGCTAAGGTTTAGTCAGGGTTTAGACAGGCTTAGGCAGGGTTTAGGCATGCGTTTCACTGCAGAAAATTAAAAGAAGAGGTATGAGAGGTTACCGTTACCCAAGTGGTGATGCCAGCCCCGGAGCTTCTCAAAACTACCATGCCCAAAAACCCTAAACCCTAAACCCTTGTCAGAACCCCTAAACGCCCAGCAAAATCTTGGCTCAGAACAAGGTACTACCCCAAGAAGAAGACCTGCGCGCGAAAGAGGCTGGTTCGGACCAGCTAAACCCTCCTGTTCCTGCTGCAGTTTGGGGTTTAGGGTTTAGGGTTTAGGGTTTTTCTTCAACCCTCAAAGCCACTTTATACTTACACGATAATATCCCCCATAACCTTCATCTAGTTCTTAAGGCCCCCTACATTAGGGCTTGCGAGGTTTGGGCACCGGAGGGTTCGCGCGGCCCAAGCTTCAACCTTTGGGGGGGTATAAGGGAGGGACCCCCTAGAAGGGACCCTGAGTCGTATTCCCCTATATAACCCCCTTTTATGTACCTTGTGTAGTCCCTACATACCCAAGTAGTCCCTAAATAACCCCTAGAGGTCCCTTAAAGGGTCCCTCCCCTGGTGTGCCGGCTGCAACACTTAAAGCTCTCTGGGGCTTCGGAGATGAGGAGTTGGGACACCAAGAGCCCAACACCACTTCAATGTTTCAGGAATACATTTCTTTAGATCCTGATTCGGGATCCCTAATATAATTTCAGGGAAGTGTTCCCCAATTTCTGGGGGGGGGGGGGGGCATAGGTTCTTCGAGTGTAGCAGATGAGCGGATTAGGGTCAAAGGTCCAGGCTAGGCAGCAGAACCGAAACCCGAAACCCGAAACCCTAAACCCCAAACCCTAAACCCTACTCTCAGAAACCCAAGCAACACAGACCCTTGCCTTGAACCGGCAAGTCCGAAGCCTCAAGCCTGAAAGCCCCACCTGTAATTGCTCTCAACCCTAAACCCTAATCCCTAAACCCTAAACCCTATACCCTAAACCCTATACCCTAAACCCTAAGCCATAAACCCTAAACCCTCAAGCCCCTAAACCCCTCTGGAAGCTAGATGCTAAACGGTTCCAGGTTGTCCTGCGCCTCCTGCAACACCTACTACCCGATCAGTGAGGCTAGACCGTGTTTGGAAACGTGTTTGGAAACGCACTTTTTGAGTTTTGATGGTTGTAATTTGGGATGTGAAACTAACAGTCCTGAATACGGATTAGAATCGATTACCATTAATCCCCATGAAAGAATGTTAGTATAAGGGGGGGACATCCCAAGTTGTAGTTCTATTGGGTTTCACAAGAACTGGGGCTTCAGGGGTTCTAAGAGCAGCTGAGGAGAAGCGGGACGCCTGCGAGGACCCTGCCGAGGGTTCAGGGTTTAGCGTTGGGTCCGGACTTCTGACCAGCTCTAAACCCTAAACCCTAAACCCGAAACCCTAAACCTTAATCCCTAAACCCTAAACTCTATTCTCCTCGCCCCGGGCTTCTGCACCCCTGGTCTGCGGAAAACCCTGCAGGGTCTCCCTGAGTGCCCACCCCCAGCCCCCTCCCCCCCCAGCCCAGAGAATCCCGCAGTGAATATCGACAGTGCCCACCTCGATGCTTAACACCTGAATCCCAAATCATCTATTTAGTGGCTTCCCAATCATCATTTTCCCAGTTGCTGATTCAGCCGTTTTGCAGTTTTCGAATCAGCCGTTTTGCGGTTTCCGAATCAGCCTTTTCCCAGTTTCCGAATCAGGTTTCCCGGCAGCCGCTTGGTGGTGTCCGAATCAGCCTTTTGCCAGTTTGTGTAATATCATCCGTTTCTTGGTTTCCGAATCCTGTTCTGGTTTCCAATCAGCCGTTCTGGTGAAAGATTTAGCCGTCTGGTTTACCGATCCAGGCCTGGTTTCTGATTTTCCCGGTTTCCGAGCACGTCTGGTTCTCACTCAGCTGTTCTGGTTACTGATTCGGCCATCTTGGTTTCCATTTCATCGACCTTTCTAGAGCCGTAAAAAACGGCGCTCGCGGCAATCCCCAACCCCGAACTTTAAGTCCTCAGCAAGACCTAGGAATGCAGCAGGATCATTGTGCTAGAATTAAGCAGGATTTCTCATTGTGCTACACCCGCGGCAATGCCAGAATGTCGAATGCTGCTCGGCTGCATGGGTTCTAGCAAAAGGGGGGCTGCTGGAGGCCCACAAACTCGTAATCTGTAGGCTGCGGGTTTAGGGTTTAGGGTTTAGGGTTCAAAATTAGGGTTTGGGGATATCGGGTTCAGGGTGTAAGGTTTCGGGCTCTGGGTTCTGCGCCTTCAATCCCGCACCTTGTGTCTTGAACGCTTGGCCCCGAGCAAAGCCCCAACTTTATGCCTTAGTCGGATACCAACCTGGCACATGTAGGGCTTGCAAGGATTATGCAAGATTCAGAGTTATACAGATGCATATGTAGTTACACCTGGCATCTGCGTATTTATGCTTGCTTCTGCATCATGCTGGGTGCGCCGCAAAAACTTGCCCTCCTCCAGCAGTTTTCTGCCCGCTTCATGGGGTCAAAGGCATCCGCGTGCTGTCCTCGGAGCAGCTACTGTATATTTTTTCGGAGAGTCTGCACGCCCTCCCTCGGATCCGGGTTTTTTGAGCACGTATTCCAGCGCAAGATATTCAGAGCTCAACTGCAGATCCATTGGCCCTCAAGCAGCATAAAGAGCGGCCCAGAAGAGTTTCGCCATGATGTCACACGATCCAAGGCCGCAGACCCGAAGGGAGACACGGGTAGGGTTTGGGGTTTGGGGTTTGGGGTTTAGGGCTTAGGGCTTATAGGGCTTGGGGCTTGGGGCTTGGGGCTTGGGGCTTGGGGCTTAGGGCTTAGGGCTTAGGGCTTAGGGCTTAGGGCTTAGGGCTTAGGGTTTAGGGTTTAGGGTTTAGGTGTTAGAAATAAGATGCTCACGTCGCCAGCCGGACACGTCGACCATGGCAAACAGGTTCTTGCAAAAGCTTTCGATGCCCATTGCTGCCCCGGCTAGTTTTGCTGATTCTGCTTAGCATTAGGATGCATGTACCTAAACCCTAACCCCTAAACCCTAACCCCTAACCCCTAAACCCTAAACCCTAAACCCTGTTATTGTTCGGTTACCGGGAAACCTGGGCTCCTGACCTAATCGGACCGAGGCTCGTTGCGAGTTTGACGAGGGCCAATGCGTCGACGGCGTCGGCACGAAGGGCTACCCGTAGATTTAGGGTTTAGGTTTTAGGGTGTAGGGGTTTAGGGGTTTAGGGTTTAGGGGGTTTAGGGGGTTTAGGGTTTAGGGTGTAGGGTTTAGGGACCGAGCGTTTGGCCGTTCCAGTCGGAAAAAGTTGCGTTGCGTTGCTCAGTGTGTTTTGGGTCGCTGACACCCCTAAATCCTAAACCCTAAGCCCGACCCAGTAGTGTTCTTGGTGCTTAGGTTTAGGGTTTAGGGTTTAGAGTTTAGGGTTTAGGGTTTAGGGTTTAGGGTTTAGGGTTTAGGGTTTAGGGTTTAGGGTTTAGGGTTTAGGGTTTAGGGTTTAGGGTTTAGGGTTTAGGGTTTAGGGGCAGCGTCGCGCCTTTCAGCGACCCTTTGGGAAAGCGTTGTTGAGGTCCTGAAACCTAGGCACGACGAATCGCGAGAGGTGGTGGCGGAGCAGAAGTCCTGAACCCTAAGCCCTAAGCCCTAAGCCCTAAGCCCTAAGCCCTAAGCCCTAAACCCTAAACCCTAAACCCTAAACCCTAAACCCTAAACCTAAACCCTGAACCCTGAACCCTGAACCCTAAACCCTGAACCCTGAACCCTGAACCCTAAACCCTAAACCTTAACCCTTTCAACAACGTGGGGTCCCACCGCTGGTGTAGGGCGTTCGTGGAGATGGGGTTGCAGTTTTTTTAAGGCTAAGGGCTTTGGAGTTTCCGGCTTGTGGGCTAGAAGTATGTGTTCGTTGATCCAAATACATGTTCCCAAGATCGCCACACATTTCCAGTGCAAGACCTAGGAACCCTACACCGTTTCCCAAGAAGGACCTTTAGATCAACCAAACCCTCACCCTAAGCCTTAAGCCCTAAATCCTTACTTGGTCAAGCGCTATATCTTTCTTAACCCCAAAACACATCGTAGTATCCCCACTCTGGGTGGAAAACTCTTCGGGCTACCCACGCCCATGACAATCTCATGTCTCGCCTCAGGAGCCCTCAGCCCGAGGCACCCTAAGCCAAAAGCCCTTAGCCCTTAGCCCTTAGCCCTTAGCCCTTAGCCCTTAGCCCTTAGCCCTTAGCCCTTAGCCCTTAGCCCTTAGCCCTTAGCCCTTAGCCCTTAGCCCTTAGCCCTTAGCCCTTAGCCCTTAGCCCTTAGCCCTTAGCCCTTAGCCCTTAGCCCTTTGCCCTTAGCCCTTAGCCCTTAGCCCTTAGCCCTTAGCCCTTAGCCCTTAGCCCTTAGCCCTTAGCCCTTAGCCCTTAGCCCTTAGCCCTTAGCCCTTAGCCCTTAGCCCTTAGCCCTTAGCCCTTAGCCCTTAGCCCTTAGCCCTTAGCCCTTAGCCCTTAGCCCTTAGCCCTACCCCTTAGCCCTTAGCCCTTAGCCCTTAGCCCTTAGCCCTGAGCCCTGAGCCCTGAGCCCTGAGCCCTGAGCCCTTAGCCCTTAGCCCTTAGCCCTTAGCTCTAGACAAGAAGCCCTGGACGCTAAATTCGCGGTAGGTGCCGGTCGCACATCGGCCAGCGCCGCCTGCGCCAGTGGCTGACGCTGGTCGCTCAGGAGATGCCCCGCACCCCCAGCGCGGTGTTGAGTCTTTTGGATTTAGGGCTTGGGGTTCCCTCAGCCCTAAGCCCTATAGGCTCTAAGCCCTAAGCCCTAAACCGTCAACCCTAAACCCTAAACCCTTATAGGGTTCAGGATTTATGGCTTAAGTAAATGTCCTTAGAGTGTTGATTCATTCGATAGCCCTCAAGAGATTTCCCTTCATCCGGGTTTGGGACGAGGGTCTGTTTTTCAGGAAGCCCTAAACTCTAAATCCCAAGCCCTAAACCCTAAACCCTAAACCCTAAACCCTAAACCCTAAACCCTAAACCCTAAACCCTAAACCCTCTTTCTCAGAGAGGGCGTACAGGGCCAACGTGCTTGGGTGGATTCCGGGGTTTCAGCCTTCTCGGCTTATGGACTCTGGGGCTTGCCTCTACACACCCTAAACCTTCCCCATGGTTGGGGTTTAGGGTTTAGGGTTTAGGGTTTAGGGTTTAGGGTTCAGGGTTCAGGGTTCAAGGTTCAGGGTTGATTTGCTTCCGCCCTAGGCAGCCTTTGACGGACGCCAAGCTCATCTCCCGCCGGCACGACATAGTGGGCTGCCCGGTCAAGGGATTCAGACTCGTACCCCGAAGGTCGTACCCCTAAGGTCGTACCCCTAAACCCTAAACCCTAAACCCTAAACCCTAAACCCTAAACCCTAAACCCTAAAGGTTCCCCTTAAATCTGCTCCTAATAATGACCCTTATATTCCTTTAGGGCGCCACCTTAGGGGTCCAAGGTAGAATCCCCTAGACCCGGTGCTTCTTCCGTGAAGGGCGTTTCAGGATTCTCAAGGGACTAAAGGACGGACTCTTATGAGGGACCTTAGGGGTTATTTGTGGATCATTCAGGGCCTATATAAAGGGTTACATAGGGGCATTTGGGAGAATAAGGTTTAAGGGTTTAGGGCGCAGGGCTTGCGCACCATGCTTCTGAGATGCGCGCATCCATCGCCCCAAGGCTAAGGCATTCTGCCAGTGGAGCAGAAGGTCAGGAGATGCTGGTGTTGCAAAGTTTGGCCAATGGACCCCAACCCATGGCCATTGGCGGGTACCGTGCCGGCTCAGTGGGCGCCACTGGTTCCATGGCCGCGCGGATGTCGCAACAAACCGAGCGGTGAACTAAACTACAAGCCAACCTATGACTTAAGGATCTTGCATCCTGAATCGTGAGGTAACCATTCACGACTAAAATTTCAGACTCTAGGTTCTAGACTATAACCCTGAACCCTAAACCCTAAACCCTAGCCTCTGATCTTATGCAATCGACGAAGTCTCCCTCACATGCCCCCCTACATATTTCAAAAAGGCCCTTAACGTGTCGAACCCCAAAGGTAGCAACGGATCCTCAACCCAACAACCCAAAACCAGGGGCATGGGTTGTTTAGGGTTTAGGGTTTCGGGTTTCGGGTTTAGGGTGTTAGGGTTTCTAGGGTTTAGGGTTTAGGAGGGTTTAGGTTTTAGGGTTTAGGGTTTAGGGTTTAGGGTTTAGGGTTTAGGGTGTTGGCGACTGCAAGCCTCGCAGAGGTTTCAACTGCAGACCGACTGTAGCGATCATTGAGACTCTATAGCACAGGACTTCTGCAGAAACGCCGAACCCCAACACACATTCGCTCTCCCGACATCCCTAGACCCTAATCCTTAGCCCTAAGCCCTAAACCTTCAAGCCTACACACAATGCGAGTCCCCCATTCCTAGCCGCAATCCCGCATTCCAGCGGCGAGCCCCCAACCCCCCAAACCCTGAACCTTAAACCCAAAGCCCCAAATCCCCTAAACCCTAAACCCTAAACCCGAAACCCGAAACCCCAAACCCCAAACCCCAAACCCTAAACCCGAAACCCGAAACCCGAAACCCTAAACCCTAAACCCTAAACCCTAAAAAAAGCCGAAGCCCCAATAGACCTCGGCTCGGCTCTTTTGCTCCAAAATTCTCCCAAACAGGCTCCTAGGCTGTACCTGGGACTCTCTTTACCTACAGTTTTTATGGGTTATGCCTACTAATTAAGGGGTAGTTACCACTAAGCTGTGGGGTTTAGGGTTTAGGGTTTAGGGTTTAGGGTTTAGGGTTTAGAGTGTTTCGGGTGTTTCGGGTGTTTAGCGGGTTTGGGGTGTTGAGGGCGTTGAGAGTGCTTAGGGTGTTTCGGGCTTAGGGTTCGGAGTATGCCTTAGTCAAGGGGTGGCTCCCCAAAAACCCTAAACCCTAAACCCTAAACCCTAAACCCTAAACCCTAAACCCTAAACCCTAAACCCTAAACCCTAAACCCTAAACCCTAAACCCTAAACCCTAAACCCTAAACCCTAAACCCTAAACCCTAAACCCTAAACCCTAAACCCTAAACCCTAAACCCTAAACCCTAAACCCTAAACCCTAAACCCTAACCCCCGCGGCGCAAGAAGCGAGGTGGAGGCCCTCCACGGTGGCGAGGCCACGCTGCGGGAACTCGAGGCAAGGGGTTTCGGGTTTGGGTTTATGGTTTGGGGTTTCAGGGTTTACGGTTTCTGGTTTGAACCCTAAACCCCAAACCCCAAACCCTGGCTAGGGCCAGCTGCGGCACGTCCCTGACCTGGAGCGTCTTGCAGCCCGACTCCACCGAACTGCCGCAGGGTGGGCGGGTCGGATTTGGGGTTTGGGGTTTGGGGTTTAGGATTTAGGGTTTAGCGTTTAGGGTTTAGGGTTTAAGCCCAAACCCCCAACACCTTGACACCCATACCCTGAACCTTAAGCCGCAAACCCGGCACTCAAACCGTAGACCCTACAGCCTGAACTGGCAGTCCAAAACCCTGGACCCGAAACTGCAAAGAGTTTAACATTGAAATCAAGCCCTAAACCCTTCACCCTCAACCCTACACGTCCCCACACCCTAAACCCTACACCCTAGACCCTCCACCCTAAACCCTGCACCCTAAACCCTAAACCCCAACCCCCACCCCAAGCTTGGGGTGTAGGGTCCAAAGGCTTGTGAGGTTTCAACTTCTCGTGCTCCTTTGAACTTTTTCGGTTCTTGAGGAACGTTTGTGTACTCTTGAAAACACACCTGGGCAGTGCGTCGCGACTTGCGGCTGCCATGGCAAAAGGGCAAGGCAAAGACCCGGCAGGTCGGATGCAAGGTTGAAGTTTCAGGTCTTCAACTCTTCCACTCCTAACCAAAGCAGATCTCGAAGTCCCAAAGCCCCAGGCCCGAAACCCGAAGCCACCAAAACTCCCATCGGCAGGTCCAAGGGCCAGCAGGCTTCCTTGGAGGAGCCGTCGTTGTGGCGTAGAAGGTAGCTGTCACCTTCCCCCCCCCTTCCCTAAACCCTCAACCCTAAACCGTGAATCCCCAAAAGAGTAGTTCAGGGCTTAGGACAGCGTACCAGGGTGCTGCGTTTGCTCCTATAAGCCCGCAGCCCTAGATCCTAAATGCACCCCAAAAGCCCTAAACCCTAAACCCTAAACCCTAAACCCT